TTTTCTCTTTTATTTCTTTTTTGTAATTTCTTTTATTGCTTATTAGTTTAGATTTATTTCTATACTTGTAGTTAGATTTTATTTTCTCTCTTCAACCATTTATTGAATAAACATGTTGCAGATAAACATTTATTCAGTCTTAATTTTTAACGCCTACACTATAGAATTTTTAACGCCTACACTATAGCTGTAAAACCCCGAAAAATTTCTATAATGTATATATGTATATATATGTGTGAATTAGTAATAGTAGATATTTCCCTTGTGATAAATAACTATATAAGCATAAGATATATATGTGTATCAGAGTTTGGGAGCCCAGCAGGTGTCTGCAAGTGAGAGAAATTGAGTGAGTTGGCGATCAGCAGGTAAAATGCCATCAGCAGGCATTTTTGTGCTGATCGGTCGACCGGCGCGGTCGACCGGCGCGGTCGACCGATCAGCGATCAGAGAGATTACCAGGTTTTGGTTTCGGGTTTTTAGTTGTTGGGTTTTGGGTTTCGGGTCGGGTTGGGGAGTTGGTATTTATACCAACTCAACCCAGGAGAGATCTCCTCAGCCCCAAACGTAAACCCTAGCCCCCTCTCTTCTTCCTCAAAACCCTAACTGGATTTTGGCAATCTGGGAGCAGTCCTTGGGGATTTTCGGCAGATCGTGGGTTTTCAGCGAAGGGGATCAACATCTTACAGATCTAGGGCATTATCAGCAACCAAGGCGAGTAATTTCTCGCCCAACCCCCACCCCTTTTGGTTTAAACATCAAGAACTGAGTTTTTATTGGATTTATGGAGCCAAATTCGTATCTTTGTTTAGCTAATAGTTTACTATAGCCTAGAATATGGGTTTGGGGCTTAATATGTTGTCAAAACTCACCCATGCCCTGTTAAAGAAGATCTAGATCTGAGTTTTTGCCTAAAAGAGTTTCAAACATCTTTACAGCTTTTAAAACGATTTGGATTTGTTTCTCATGGATTTAAGATCTTGAAAATATAGATTTCAAACTTTGGTTTTGGTTGTGTATTTTCAGTATGATCCCATTTTTATCAAATACCCATGTTATCGAAATCTTTGGTTCCAGGTTTTAGCAGCTGACAGAACCCAGGTAGGGTTCTGTTCGCTCGGCGGTCGACCGACGCGGTCGACCGCTGAGCTCGAGTCAGGGCTTCGGTCGACCGCGTCATTTATTCGGTCGACCGCTATTTGATTTCGGTCGACCGCGTCATTTTTCGGTCGACCGCGATGTCTGGTCGGTCGACCGATATTCCTGGCGGTCGACCGTCCTGATTTGTATCAGAGTTCGGTCGACCGTATCGACTGATGAGGAACTACACATCTCTTTAACCATAAGGCTAGAAAACCCGCCAGCAGAGCAGTAGGGCTAATCGGAACACCAGCTTGCCACAGATAAGAGCGGAACTTAGTGCCGTGCAAAAATCCATCTTCTGAGCGCGAAGTATAAGATTGCGCGTTGGTTTTCTCTAACAGACGGTTAATTTCATCCGTACTCAAAGGAGACAATCCGCACACATCTGCCGAACGGACATCCAGGTTCTTGAAGAGGTAGTCAGCGAATTGTTTTAAGCTGACCTGAGGAGATTTCTTTCTGGCTTTGGGCTCCATCTCGGCCATGGCTATATGATAATGGCAAGTCAATTCCCATAAAGTATCATGAGTCACAGTTGAGCTATCTTTCATCTTGTTCAGCTGATTGCTAGTTGGAAAGAACTCTTGATAGGGAACATCGCCCATAGGCAAACCAGACACCTGCATCATTTCATGCAGTGGTAATCCGAGTTCCCCGTTCTTGGTAAAGAATGTATTAGTGTCCGGGTTATAGATCTCGAACAAGCAGAGGAAATGACCTACACTACTCTGTAGGCCATGCATGGTGGCACGAATCGGGACATCTAACCCTAATTCTGCTAACTCTCGCCCAAAGCGGTTTAACACATATCGGGTCATCCTGGTCCACCACCATTTGTCCCCAGAATAATGGACCCATCCATAGCATCTAAAAGTCTCTTTGGGTAATCTTTTGCCCGCTGCCGCTAACCGGTTCTTCACGGTGTTGGCTTGCACTATCTTTTCATTCTGAGGTATATTATCTTGTCCCAAGATACCC